GTGACTGACAACAATGAAGATAAACAGCTCAGTCCTGTTTGCTTCTCTTTTTGCTGCCAGAGCTCCTTCCCAAAAGCTTTCCATGTAATTTGGCTCCAATGACTGGTTTCACAAAGGGAAACCTGAACAGTTGTGAAGTAGTTATTGAGCCCTTGCCGCTTTTTAACTGACTGAGCCAAACTGTCTCTGAACTCAGTTTGAGATAAAGGACCTGCTTTCTAGGCCTTCAATAGACAAGCCTTGTGGGGAGGGATGAACTCCATGAAAGGTATAGAATACAAAACTGGATACCATTAACTTCAGTCATAGTTTTCCTTATGTTGTCATGTGTAAGTAAGACGACCTCAGTCTGTCACCTGAATTCAAAATGCTTTCACAAAGATTTAACTCTCTCTGCCTATGTTGTATTTTTTCATCTGGACTGAAATGTACATCATCTATGCCGGCAAGGAGCAGGCATAGATCTGGTGTAACTTTGGCTTGCTTCTAGCTCTGCTTGATGGATTGTTCAGAGTCTTGAAATCTAGGACAGTTTTACTTTCTTAAAATGTGGGGTGGGGAGAAAGGACTGGCAACTCTGTTTTGAGATGGATTCTAGAAATGGATATGCAATGTAGAGACCGCTGTCACTGTAGAGTTACAGCAAATACTTAAGTTTACTTTTTCAGGACAGATGTCTAAAGAAATTGAGAAAGAAGTTGCAGAGAGCTTCGTGGCACTGCACTGACGTACAACAAATTTCTGATGTGAGATTTAATGTTCCCATTGTCATGTCACTATTCTTCCTGGAAGCTTGAAAACATGGAATAATGCATAAACTAGCAACTGGATTTTAATGTGAGATGGCTTATGGTAAAGCTGCTTTTACAGCATACAGACTAGATCACTTTGAGTGGTACTTTGATTTGTGAAGCACAACTCATGCTGTAGCTTATTCCTTGGGAGACACCTGGGGCTCTGCTAGTGTTACAGCCAGGGCTGTATATCTTTACTGGATGACGATGCAGGAATATTCTTAGGCTCCTTGCTAAAATGACAGATGTTTTAAATTAGCTTCTGGAACATTGCAAGAACTAATTCTTCTAAGGTCTTCCTTTTTAACTGGGGAAATTGTATAAGCTGCAAGGAAAATTTAACTTCCAGCATTTGTCAAATTGGTATTGTCAATATAGGCATTCAGAAGACTCTTTCTTTAAAAAGAAAACAAACAAACAAAAAACCATCCCCAAACAATAAACTTCAGACTTTCATCTTAAGTATTTGGATGTTTTATTCTATATGATATATGGAGTTTGTACTTTCAAACTTCTAAAGTTAAGAGAACTAGATATTACTGGGTGTTTGTGGTATCTTTGTTTAAACAAACTCTTAGAGAATTATAGAAGCTGAAACTATTTCCCCTTCTCACGGAGCAGCTGTTCTTTGCTATATCCAGCAGGCTAAGAAGATGGGAAAGGGACCTTGTGGGGTGCTCATGTCTTGTCTTTCCTGCAGTAGAAGCAGATGTGACAAAAAGTTGCAAAACTGGTTATAAGGAAAAACCTCAGCCTGAGCAGAAAGCTTTCTTCATGCTTTTCCATAGAGGAAAATAGTCCCCAGCAGGAAGCTTAAAACATGCTGATCTTATACAAATCAGTGGCAGATAAGAGTGCATGAAACCTACAAGCAAGGTTAAAAGCCAACAGCCGCAGGAAATCTCAATCTCCTGATTCTTCTAGCTGCAATCCTAGAAGGCTGTTCAGTGGCCATATATGTACCCTGACTTGTGTGTGTCCCTTTTCCTTTAAAGTTCTAGACTTGTCGGCTGCTTGTTCACTGTTGTTAAGTAGCAGGGAAGTAGCTCATTCTTTATCTCGATTCAACTGATTTGCCTCTTATCTCCCAAAGAGTGTGGAAATGGATATGGATGGGTGGAAGTTGTAACTATAAAACTGTCTTGATCAGTTTTGCTTGAGAGCTTCCCTTCCTCTGTGCTGTTCTGGGCAGGTACAGCGTTCAAAAGTTATGGTCTCTTTACTGGGTTAACCAGTGCAGTTTCTTTGGAACCATGAGTAATGGCCGCATCACTATTACTTAAAAGCAGAAACTTCCTTTCCATGAAGACTGTTCCTTCCTAGTTAGTTAGGAAAAAAATATCATAGGAGGTAAGAATATCTGAAACCCAAGTAGGAATCCTTTTTTTTTTCCCACATGTATACTGTTAGATAGAAATATTATCTGGGAAACCTGTATTATTGTTCTGTATTAGCATGAAGCTTGACAAGCCTTTTGCCTGAAATAGGGAAGGTGTAGATATGTCATCTTAAGGGGCAGGGGGGGAGAATCTTCATTCCCTTAGTATTGGAGTATGGTGAAGGTAGAGTTGAGTGAATCTCTACCTTGTGTTATACTCCAGCGTGTCCAAAAATTGCTTTGCCCATGTAAAATTCAGTCTGAAGAAACTGGATCTTATTAAAACAAAAAGTAAGAATCAAAATGAAAAATCCCTCTAACCACAAAGCTAACAAGGGGAACCTACAAAACTCTTTTGGGATTGTGTATATTTAGTCATGAATGTTGCTTCACATTTTGAGACTTAGCCTGTTAAATGGTATGTGGAGTACATTTGTTCCTTACATTCCGTATCTATACCTTGGCTACAAATGCAAAGAGCAACTTCTGGAAAGGTTAATAGCTATTTAAATATGAAATGCTTTCCTTTGAGCCACAGGGTTTTATGTTTAAACAGATTCAGTGAGTATGTGGTGTATTGGTGCTTAAAATATGGTAGAAAGTCCTTTCCTCTAGAAAGGTAGGGGACCCTTTTAATTGAGGCCTCATGGGAACTGTCTGAAATCTTGTGTCCTGTGTGCTGTATAGTGCTGAGGATATTGGAGGAATGAGTATTTCTGCTTTGTGATGGACTTGGAAGAGAAATGATCTGTTTTTGGAGTTTAGGACAAAGACTGTCTGTTTCAGGAAAGTTTTGAGGTTAAAACTCTCCACAAAAAATTAAAATGCGAATTGACTTATATCCTATATGTTACTTTCATTTGAAGACTAAAGATCCTAGCTAGGCATAACAAGAATATCCATAGGTATGTATAGATACATAAAGTGCATATATAGCGTGTATATATAATCTATAATTAGTGGATAATGCTTCTTTGAGTAGTGAACTTGGGTATATCCTTTTATAGAAGAGACTTATGCTTTCGTCTGAATGAAGAAATGCTTTTTGTATGGTCTAATAAAACTAGAAATAACTTATATCAAGCACCAAGTGTGTTGTAACTTGAGCAGAAATTGTTTCTTGGTTGCTCCTGACTGGCTGTTCAATATAAAATAGTGATAATGATTGCTAGAATGACCTTCGACTGGAAGCTGCCCTCCACCCTCCCATTGTAAGCTTTATTTTTGTGCATTCTTTTAAAACTGTATATCTTCTGAACTACTTTGTTTTACATAAACTGAACTATATGCAGATTGGTACAGCTGCAAGAGACAGAAATCTTGAAACCTCCCAATGGTTCTCTGGAAATAAAGTATTACTCTTCATTTTTCACCTGGTGACAGTCTTCTGTCTGAACAATGTATAATCCAAAATTTATGCAAATTACCCCTTTTCTGTGTCATCTTTATCGTGCATGTGTGCATATGAACATGTGAGAAATATGAAAAATGTGCTTCATGAGTGCAATGGAAATAATTAGAAACAAACCAAAGCAGGCATACATGACCTGCCAGAGAGTAACCCTGTCCAAAGAAATGGGGCATGAGATATGCTTATTGTCCTCCTGAGGCACTGCTGTGAAGTTGAGGAGTCAAAGCAACGCTGCAGTGCTGTGTACTGGGAGGGAGCATGGCTGTTTAGTGAGCCTACACTTAAGAGACAGAAACCTATCATAAAGTTGAAGACCTCTAACTTCCTCTCTGCTCTTCCCTTCATTACTTACAAATACCTATGTGACTACTTGTGAGTGTAGTACTAATAAAAAAAAAAAAAAATAAATGTAGGCTAGGCTGACTCTGTATTTGAACCAAATAAAACACTAGGGACAATGTAGTTCTGTAAAGCCCCTCTGAAAAGGACCAGACTAGGGACACAAAGTTTTTGGCAAGTGGCATAAACTTGCAAGGAGATGGTGCTTCTGGAAGGCTGTACAGCACTAGAATTGGCAAGTGCTGTGCATACTGGCACACTACAACTTCTGTCAAAAACCAGCAAATCTTTAAACACCAGCTGATCAGGGATTTTCAGGGCTATCTTGTCTAACTTGAGCAGGCCTGGCAGCTCTTAACACAAACTAGTGTCTGGGTTAAAGACCTTCTGCTTTGTGATGCCTTTCTGAATAGCTTATTCAGCTGGAAAATACAGTGAACAAAGGAGCTGGAAATATTTTGTCAAGTTGGTGATCTCACAGTCCAGAGAGCCAGCTACCCGTTACAAAGACTTCTATTGTGTAACACAAGAGCTAGTGTATAGAAAACTCCAGATCTTACTCTATCTCTTTCTTTATTAGCTTCTACATAATTATTTTTGCCTAAAGGGTGGTGTGAATGTGGATGTGGGGGTCTATTCTCAGTAATTAACTACATTTTTCAAATAGACTAGGTTGAATAGCAAAATGGGGGTATTTTTTTTTTTTTTTTTAACTTTGAACTTTATTTCTGACTTGTGGGGATTAGGAGGGAGGGAAGCCTACAGAGTTCACAGTGATTAAGTTTTTACAACTAAGTGTAGTAAACAGATAGTATTGTTTGTGTGGAGAGTGGGAAGAGGGGAAAAGTGCCCCCCCCAATTTAGTAGAGGTGTTGGCAGGAAACAACATATGGTTTCTGAAGCATTAGACTAACCACAGTCTACAGTGGTCTCAAAAATAGACATAGCAACAGCAAACCTAGTGAAAGGAATTATCATTAGTACAAATGATTTTTTTTTGTTGCTATTTTGCTATTTGTTTTCATCTAGGCTTTACAGTGAAATTCTGAATCTTAAGTATGATTTCTTTCTCCTGCAGGTTGGAAAAGAGACTGTGCAGACAACAGAAGACCAGATCTTGAAAAGGGATATGCCACCAGCATTTATCAAGTAAATTCATTTTATTGTAAATCTTCTATTATAGGTATAGGAAACCTGTTCCAATGATAGATCACTGTTACTCATTTCTGCTGTACAGATTAGAAAATACTCTTATGTTTCAGTAGCTCTTTGGGGTCTTGAAGCTGATCTTTGCCAGGAATGACCTTTCTGCCAATGGTGACTTTTCTTCTTATTCTATATATGCGGGTACATATCTAGGATGTTTCTTCCTTAAAAGAAAAAAATTCGGAGTAACAATGGAACTTACTTATGTGCTGTTGTAGTTTTGCCAAACAGCGTCAGAGATAACATGGTGTTCTCAATCTTTCCTATTAATTTAGTTGGTGGAAAAGTGTGAATTTGTCAATATAGGCAGCTGATGCATGATATAACTGCCTGGAAATCTAATATATTTGAAGAACAGTGACTGACACTCTTAATTCCACGGCTCAGTGTCAAGGATAACTGACTTTCTCCTTCTGCTGCCTTAAGCCTTAAAAATCATACATCACTTCTTGTTACGGAATTGCCAAGCTTCTTACTGCCAATGGACAAACTTTCACTGAAGTGACTTTGCCCTACAACCTACTGAATGTAGTGACTGCTCTATTAGTGTTGTCCAGTTTGTACAGAATGACTGAATATTTTACTGTATTCCCAAAAACAAGAGGCAGATAGTCAAAAAAAGAAAGCATTGAGGCAACTAAGAAAATACTAAAATGGAGAACAGAGATGATGTCTATAAAGGAAGTTTCTGTTATGCAGTGAAAAAGGATTTAGTTTATTGCATTGTAGGTTGACAAAATGGTCGTAGGACCAGGTGGTATTAGCATAAGAGTTCAAGAATGAAATAGCTGAATTATTAGTGAAGTACAGTCTCTCATTTGAGACCATGCGGTATGTCAATCAAGGTGATGCTACTACCTGAGAAACTTTCTAGGGGAATCTGGGTAACAGGAGGTCTATTGGTCTGATGTACCTTTGGAGCAAATGACTAGAAATTCTATACTAGAGAAGAGAATTAACAGATCCCAAATATGTATTATTTGCTTTGGGTGAATTGACTGTTTCTGTGGAGGGAAATTCTGCCTTATAAATCTGTTGGTGTTCTTAGAAATATCACAAATGGGGATAAGGGTAATCCAGGTCATACAGTATACACCGATTTCTAAACTTTTTGGCAAGGTCTGAAGGCTTTTAAGAAAATGAAGTAGTCACAGGAAATAAGAGAAGTTCTTGTATGGAAAAGAGAAAATTGAAAGTGAAAGGAAAAATTACATGGTTAACTGTGACAATGGTGGGAGGTAAGCTGTGGTCAGTAGGGCTCTAGAGATCTCTGCTGGGATTATGCTTTTTACCACGTTCCTAAATGCCCTGGAAACCAGGATGAGCAGTGAGTCAAAAGTACTTGCTGATGATATGAAGTCTTACACAGGGTTGTGAGATTAATGGGTGACTCTGAGAAATTACAGCAGGACCTTATTAAACTGAGTGACTTGATATTAAGCATGGATGAAATTATTTTGGAAGATCTGAAATGATGCACACATGGGAGAGCAGCAGCTCTAGCTTCAGATAGGGTGATTGACTCTGAACTGGCCATTTCCAATGGTGAGCATGGTCTTGGAGCTGTGATACATTGGCGAGAGCATCCATTATATGCTCAGTAGTGGTGAAAAAGTAAACCAAATGTTAGGTTTATCAGTAAAGGCCGAGAGACCAAAATGTCACTGTATGTTTTTCTCCCACACCTTGAATACTGCATGCACTTGTGATCCCTAATTTTAGAAATGCTGTAGTAGAACTGGAAAAAGCTCATAGAAAGACTTTGAGAGCAATCGAAGGTCAGGAATTGCTTCTGTATATAAGGTAAACCTAAGTAGGCTGGAGCTCTTCAGCCTGGGAAAGGTGGCAGAGGGGATCGGGGCCCTGGCAAAGGTCTAAGGAAGTATGAGTTACATGGAGAAGATGGAAACTTGCGCTTTTTTTCCTGTGCAAGAACTTGATGGGGGCATTGCTTTAAGCTAGTAGTTGATAAACCAACAATAGGGAGAGCTTCTTTTTGTAGCAAGTTATGTACTGTTAAAATTCTTTATATAAGTTTGGAGGTTAATAGATAAGTACTTAGAGGAATCCATTGTGGGTTATCAAACAGACAAACTGCAGGAAATCCCAAGAACTGAAAAGAGTTGGAGGATGGGAGAGTGCCCAGAGGAAGTACGATAAATGCTTATCCTGTTCTTAACCTTCCTTAGGCATCTACTTTCGGCTACTTTTGGAGACAGGATACTGAACTAAATGGGCCTTTGATACAATCCACTACAGTATTTATTATGCTGTGTTCCTGGTGTGTGATCTTGTTTGGGTGTAGAGGGGTTTGATTTTTTTTTTTTGAGGGGAGTGTTTATGTATTGAAATGAGACCAAAACTTTTCTTCTTTCCTCATGAGCTGTATACAAACATGTAATTTTGATTGTGCTCATTTTCTAGGATGTGCAGAGTTAGTTAATTTCCAGGTTCTTGTTCACCTAGACAAGTAAGGGATTAAGAAAAGAGATTCTCTTAATTGCTATACTGCAACCAGTCTTTGATCAACACTCAGCAGATTGTGGAGACTGAAATAGTTGAATTACTGTAGAAATGTGATACAAGCACTGCTGAATAGTACCACTTTATGCTGGGTGCAAGACCTTTTTCTGCAGCAATTCATGACTGCTTGAATTATGACACAATGAAAAATGGGAGACAAAGCTGGCTGTCACAGTGATGAAACCTACTTTGCGTACTACTTGTTATCCAAGATGCAGTAACGTGAGTTAGGAATGTTCAATGGCCTTTGTGAATGATAATCTATTGCATTTGTTGTTTTTTGTTAATCCAGAGTTTATATCAAAATGAACTAGTACATGTTAACAGTTCCTTGTTAACACTATGGAGTGTATTGTCACCGATATCTGTGTTGTAGGGACAAGTGACAGTCACAGGTGAGCTGCCGAAGGAGTCTTACCTGTTCTTTCATTAAAGAGCAGGATTTGGATGCAGGAAGCGGAACAGATGAGGGTTGTCTTTTTCTTTCCTGAGAGGAGGGGTTTTTGTTTCTAAAGTGTTAGTTCAGGAATTGGCACTCCTCTAAGGAAGTGCTCCAGCAGAACTTGTACTGGCACGTGGATGATGGGGTAAGGAGCAGTGTGCATGTGCTAGCACCGCATTCCCTGTCCATAGTTTCTCCATTCAAAAGGACCACCAGTCTTGAGGGAACCACTCTTGGAGGATGAGGGAGAAGATCTTTTCAAAGACTTGGGTTTTGGCTTGCTTGAGACTGGCATTGATGGTTCATAATGGATAAATATGATGGTAATATGTAAAGTTTTTCAGTCGGAGTGTGATTGTGCAGCAAAATAATTTGGCTGCTGAGAAGCTATCGTGCATCTCTTTGCTTGCTACTGCCATAAACCACATTGGAACTATTGACCTAGAGTTAAAAAATGCTGTGTTCTTTATCTTAATTGTCTTAATCAGCAGGGAGTATGAGTAATGCATATAATTTACATCAGATGTTTTGCAATGTATTCATATTACTTGTTACACTTCCCTTGTAAAGAAGGAAAAAGCTGTAATCTGTAGGCAAAGAATAGGGTAACACCTGATTTGTTTACGCTGAGAGCAATGTTAATGTAAAATATGTAATATATTTGCTTTTTATGTTATACTTCTAGAACTGTAAGTAATCTAAACTGTAGTGAGTAAACTCACTACAACTTAAATGATTAGAAATTGAAACAAGCATTATTCAAGCATCAAAGGCATTGCTTGGCATTTTTGGGCAGGCATCTCTGGGAAAAGCAGAAGTCAGTCCTAAAACCTAAAAACTAAAATGGTAGTTTAGCATAAGCTAAATTTTTTTTTTCCTCACCTTTCATAAAGGAGACACTAACAGGAATGAAGCTGGTTGACTACCAAAAAGTAGTATGGTTGGAAATACTATGACCTGAGTCTTTTCCACAAAGAATTTGGCTGGTGTTAACATAGCTATTGTAACCATGCCTCAAAAATAAATATACATTTTTTTATAAAGTTGGGTTTTTTTAGGTTACAATATAATACAGGGATTAGAAAATTCACTGTAGCAATGAACTTCTGTTAAAAACTTTTGAATGTGTTTGATTCTTGTGATAGAACAAGTGGTTGATTGCAGTGAATATTTTTAGTATTTTTTTTTTTAATTAAAGTAATTTAATTACTTTTTTCCTCAAATTCTGATCTTTTGTTCCCTAGCATGTATGCTTTGCAGGGGTTGGAGGGTGTCTGGTTTTTAAACACCACTCTGCTTTTTTGTACATAGTGCACACTCCTGAAGTCTTTCAAATGCATTGGGACGTTTATACAAAATGGACATCGTACAAGTAAAATGCACATTTACTTTTCGGAGGTTCAATTCTAAAAACTGTAAAAGAAAACTTTGAATCTTTAGAAACTTTATTTTTGTTAATTATGGTGACTTCTGGGGTAATACACATTCATATTAATGCCTTTCTTTACAAATGAAAAAGCCAGCCTTGAGATAATCATTAGTATTAAACACATGACCATAAAATTGAACTGTAGGAAATTAAGTATTTCTGAGCCGGCTGAATAGGTTATTTGTTTAATCCCTTTCTTGGCAGAGTTGAAAAGAATAAATTTGAGAAGCAAATGCAGAAATCTAATTTAGTGAAGTCAGTTGACTTTGATAATACAACTGAGTACATTGCATAGTAATGAGCAGACCAGCCCCACTTTGTCTTGAAGTCCTCCTGTATTTTCTTACTCAGTTATGAGTTACTACCATCTGATGTGTTGAGCAGATGTCTTGCTAAAGAGCAGGTTATGTTAAGGTCAGCTGGCCCAATTCGATCTGCTCTAGGGAACCATTAGCTGAAAACTTTACTTTCTGAAAATGTATATTTTCCTGTAATGAGTGTCTTATTTCTAGTATAGTTAAATTTATATGTAACCATTATGTTCTGCCATTTGTGTTAACAAGGAATGTAGGGGAGAAAGTGGGATAACTGTGTAACTTTCCAATAGTACTTAACAAAGTATGATAAGAGTGTGTCCAAGTGGTCAGTAGAAAACAGGCTATATTACAAGCATGAAAAAGTTGTGATAAGAGATAGTATTGCTGTAATAAAAGGGTTTAATGTTTGTTGGAACCTCATGTAACTTGAATGAGCACATGGCACTCATGTGCATAGAGCCTATGTATTAGACTACGCTTACATTTCTGTGAAAGAAACAGGAGAGAATGGAGGAAAGTCACAATCAGTGTAGTCAATAAGTACAGTCATGAATAGCATAGCTAACATGGAAGTAAAGTCTGAATTTTGTATTTCTCTAAGCTGTCATGAACTAATTACAACAAGGGAACAAAACCGAAAGCTTTTCAATGTTCCAGTTCTTGATATTTTAAAATTATTGGGTTAGATGGCTGGATGGAACCTAATTTCAGAGCTCATTTGCTTATTGTAGTACCTTCTGTGTTACTGTAATTACATACTGTAATACCTTGCAAAACCTCCTTTCTGTTTTTAAGTGTGGAATTGCAAGCTGCATTTGAAGTTCATACCTTATCACTAAATCTTGTAGCTATTTGAAATGCTATTTCTGTCCTGAGTGTTAACAGACTCTGAAGAGCTGGACTATAGCTTCAATAAGCAGGGCACGGTGTCTTGGTTTTCTTAATACTATGTTCTTTTGTCTTAATGTGTAGCTATCATTTAATATTTATTAATAGCAATTGCTTCTTGAATGACAATGCAAATACAAGGCTGATAAAGGTTAGCAATTACTTTGTGAAGTCCTGAAAGAATAATTTTGTCCACTGCCCTTGTCATTAAGAATGAAAGGTGTTTTGCCACGTTGGGACCTCTCCTTAATGACACTGTATTGACTGCTGTACATGGAATACTTCCCTACATTGGAAGATTGCATGACTTCTGAAAAACTGTGTTGTACAGTTGCTGGTTACTTTCTTGTTAAAATAAATACAATAAATACCCTTGCCTTTTAAACTGTAAAGGTGTAGAATGATCAGTTTGCTTGCAGTGTTTTAAGTAGTAAAGTTAAAAACAAATCCAGCATTTTCTCAAGTCTGTTGTCATACAGACAGAAACTAATCAGCAAATTTTGTCTGATGACTTTCCACAGAGTGGAGAACGCCTGCACCAAACTTGTTCGGGCAGCCCAGATGCTGCAAGCAGATCCTTATTCAGTACCAGCTCGTGACTATCTAATTGACGGATCAAGAGGCATCCTTTCTGGAACGTCAGACTTACTGCTGACATTTGATGAAGCGGAGGTAGGAATCCCAACATGACTGACATAGGTATCTGCACAATAGCATTATTAATTCAAATATCCACCTAACTGAATTAGCTGCTCTAAACTATCGAGTAGATGAATGTATTTTTGATTGTTTTAGCTTGATTGGAAGCATATTTTGCATTCCTTTCTGTCAGAAGCTTAGGCCTGTTGCTCCGTTTTGTTAAGAGCACCTTTGTATGACATGATGTGTAGGTGTAGCCTGTGATTATTCCTCAAAAAGGCCAGATTCCATCAACTCTTTCTTACATCTTGCTGACACTTTTCTGTATTCCCTTCACCATACCCATTACTGATCCTTATATTCTCTGTATACCTTCACTGCAAAGCCCTAGGCCACTTTCTAACATGTCTGAGTCATTAGCTGTAGCAATTTAATTGGTCTTGGGGTATGGGAGGTAATACAAATCTGGACTGTCTGGCTGGTTAACCAGAAGATGTGTTCTGATAGATGTAACAGTTGCTACATTCTGGCTGCTGCACAAACCAAAAAGTGGCTCAGAGGTGCTGTTTGTCCATCCTCAGATGGACAAAAACTCAGAGTTGCAAGGAAACTTAAAAAGGAGTTTGTGAGTGTCTTGTGTTTGAAAGTGTTTCTTTGTTACAAATCTTACTTACTCTTGTGATCCTCTTTCTGGGAATGTGGAGTCTTGCTTGTTTCTAAATAGCAAATATCATGCTACTATGAGGAAATGAACCTCACACTGTTAGAAATACTGATGTTAATTCTAAATTTTACCCGTGCAACAATCTGTTAGTGTATGAAATTGTGTTATTCTTCCTGCTGTTCTGAGTAGTCTAACAGGGCATCCTTGTCTCTCATTTAATCAGCTCATGGTACTGTTAGCACATCTCTCTGAAATGAGGAGAATGCTATGGGATTTCTCTGTGGCACTTGTGATTACACATTATTTTAAGTGGTTTTTAATAGATACTAAGAAGTGTTATAGGACAGAATTGCAAGGAAGTTAATAGCCTTTAATCTCCCTGCTTCCAGTGTTTAGGAGATGAGTTGACTTCTGTGGAGTTAATGCTTCATTGAACTAGTCTCTGATAGCTGCATGTTAACTAAAAGAAAAATATTAGTCTGGAATGATTGACTTCTCACAAATACAAAACTTGGCTCTGTTACATAATCCTCCTATACATAATCCTACTATGTTTCAAGATAAACTAACATTGAGACAAAACTGAAATGAGTTTGAGGAAACTATGATCTGTTCTAGGGGCTGAATGCTGCTTGTGGTTGATATGAATTAAATGTTAATTAACTCATTCTTCAGTGAGAATTGTATGTGGTGTTGTCAGAAATAATGTGGTTCAGGAGGTTAGAAGATTAACTAACTGACAAAGAACTCTGTTTTGGAATCAAGTATGAACTGAAAATGTTAAGCTGAGGCAGATGTCCAGAGGTGAAGAAAGTACAGTCTTCACAGATTTTTCTGGAAAGCTTAAGATGTTGGATCTACCTTTCCCACTGGAATGCTGCATAATGCTTTATCCATATGTAAAGCTCTACGGTGAATAATATTTCCTCTGAAAGCTTGGAGTCTGCTTTCTATGTAGTTTTGCTTTGTGACTTAAGTTAAATATTTTTTTATTGATGAAATTGCAATGAAAAACTTTAAGCATGCCAGCATACTTAAATGCACTTCCTTATAACCTATTTTCTCAATGCAATCCTTCATTTATCATACAAAGTGAAAACACTGGAAGTAGGATTTTGCATTTCTGAGTAGTGGCATGCTGATTAAATATTGTCTTTGTCAATACAGCACTCTTGAGTAATTGTGGGTAACTTAATCAGTATCCCAGACCTTCGTGATTGCCCATATGTCATGTTAGCAAATTAGAATTATTAGAACCTGTTCTGTTCTAATAATAGGCTTGCATTTCTAATTTAAGTGTAACTTAGCTTTGTCTAATAAACAATGGAAATTTCTTTTTTAGGTCCGTAAAATCATCCGTGTCTGCAAAGGAATATTGGAATATCTGACTGTGGCGGAAGTAGTAGAGACTATGGAGGATTTGGTGACATACACAAAGAATCTAGGGCCAGGTTTGATTTGCTACAGCCTATCATAAACATACTAAGTATAGTCTTTTCCACTACCTTTTTTTCCCCCTCCAGCACCTTCCTCACCCAAGTTTTCAAGTGTTTGGACAAGGATAAAACAGTTGCTTTGAAAGTGTCTGTTCGAAAGAGTTTTAAACTAGAGGGTGAATGATGACTATTTTGATTCACATTCTCTCTTAAGAATGCAGAAGAGTCAGGATGTTGGTAAATGATATGTACTGTACTTTTCCTACACTGTATTATATGAGGGAAGTAAGCATGCATTAAGCTGATAAAATGTCTGTACTGAGATGGTTAGGCCTACTAGGAATTTCTTGGAGTAGTATAAGCTACATATCATGTATTAACATCTTAATGAGGTTGCAGAAATAACTGTCTTGCAGTATAATACAAAAGCACAGCTGTTACAAAAAAACTTTTTATTCATTATTTGATGCTCTTTTGCTACTTGTTACTTCACTGTGTTAACTCGCACTTTCACTGGTGGAAGTAAGTGATTGGTAAGTGAAGCGCTGGGTTGCTGTACAGGAAACCTGCCATTAATCTCAGTCATCTACTACTCTATATGCTTTAGTTTCAGCAAGCATTAACTAGTTCAGGTATTTAACGAAAGCATTCTATAAAATGGCGATGTTGTGGTGATAATGTAGGAAGATATTGGAATTAAAGATACACTGTACAAAAGAATGCTTATATAAGCAGAGCAAGAATCTAGCTAGTACTTTATATATATAAATAAGAATACATATGTAGTGTAAGAATAACTAGCTCATAGATAAAATGACTAGCAGCTCTCATGTCACAAAGCATGTTTGTAGATTATCCTGTTTTTATTTAACTTGTGTATACTTTACCCTGTTTCTAGATGTGAAAAACTTTAAGTTACATATGAAGGTATAGTGTTCTCTAAACTTTATGTCCTGTGAGAAGTTACCTTCAGCTAAATAGATTTGCCTCATTTTGAACAGGAAAAGATGAAGCAAAAAGGGCAATCTTCTCTTTCCGTGAAACTTGTTCTTTTACTTGGTATACAATTTTGGTTTCTCTGTGGTCATTGTCTTCCATGTCTTTAAAATGGAAGTTTCCCCAAACGTCAATTTACCCTATTGGGCTCGGTCACAAGCATTTGGGACTTTTCATTGAACCTCACAGACATAATTTGCTGTTACGTGTGTATGATAGAAGTAATAGGTGTTGGGCAAGTGTGTTAATTTCTTAGAAGTGAGATGTAGGCTTGTACCTTTATTGCAAATAATCTTCTCTAAACTCATGCTGTTCTGAATAAATAGTTAATCTTGTGCTTCTGGCATGCTGTAGAAGCACTGTCTTTGCCTCAAGTAAATGCTGCTCAACACTTAACAGCCCATGCCCACAAAACTTTTTAAGCCTGTAGTCCTTGTTCGCTTCAGCTGTATCAACGGGCATCTGAACTTAACTGTTAATATGAGCACTATATAAATAATAGGAATACGAGCATGTACACTTAAAATCGGCCAAGTGCTTATAGGTTTTATGTTGGAAGTAGAGAGGAGAACATGATTACCTATTTAGGCTTTTGTCATTTGAAAGGAAAGGTGGTTCTGCACAATTTACCCCTCTATGCTGTCAGTGCAGGGATTCTACTACTTTTTAGTGTTGTCATTAAAGCTCATTTAACCTTTTTGTTATATTAAGATGCCTAAGATGCTAACCAGCAGAAGAGTAATTCAGCCAAAGAGTATAGAGCTTTCTTCCAGTTTTGTCCCCTGTAGGAGAAAGGGAGAGTGGGACCACAACAGCACCAATTTAAATCAGCTTAATTTTTTAGGAAGCTGTGCCTAAAATTTCCACATGTGCTGCGTGGTGAACTTCATAAGTCTTAGCTATTGCAAATAGATTTGCTCTAGAATAAATTTAATTCTTTCCACATTTTTAGAGCACTGAAATATTTCTAGCAGAACTGAAGTATAAATAGATACAATTCTTGAACTCTGGTAGAACCTCAAGGCAAACAAACCAATCCCTGATGTTTCCTTTTTCTGCCATTTACAATTAAGGCTTTGATGAAATCTTAACAGAAAAAGGGAAAAAACCCTGTAAATTAGCTTCCAGAGTTCGTGAAGTGACTTCATGTCCTAAAGTAGTCGTTTTGGGTATTTTCCTATTTTATTGCTAGGATTTTAAATCAAGAATTTTGAGGATTCCATTCTACTTTGCATAGTGGCTAGGTTTTGAATCAGTGGCTTCTCTGAAGCATCAGGAATGTGTTTTAAGTAACAGCTGCAAATATAAAAATTGAGTTTTAAACTTCATTATAGTTGTCATAACTCATTACACTTTGTTCTTGTTTAGAAAGCTCAGCTGTTGCAAATTAGACTTAATATTACATTTCTTTATTTATGACTGTGTTCAATTACTTTAATCTTTAGGAATGACAAAAATGGCCAAAATGATTGATGAGAGACAACAGGAATTAACTCATCAGGAACATAGGGTTATGCTGGTAAACTCCATGAATACTGTGAAGGAGCTATTGCCAGTACTTATTTCAGGTATTTTCGGCTTTAATTTTTAATATCACTCCGAATTGCTGTCTATTTCGAGCTGGAGTTCGTGTCTTATGTTTATTAAAAATAACAGCCTTGACATTGCTTCTGTACTGATCGCAAATAACTGTGCTTCTTGTATTAAAGCTACAAACTCTTTGAGATAAAATGGTCCATGCAAAATAAAACGTACTACCTCTGTACTAATGCAATAGGAGGTCACCTTAGCATTGATTGTATCTTGCATGTACCTTTTTCTAATCTATGGTATTTTCACAGCTATGAAGATTTTCGTAACCACGAAAAATTCTAAAAGCCAGGGAATAGAAGAGGCATTGAAAAATCGCAATTTCACAGTAGAGAAAATGAGTGCTGAGATAAATGAAATAATCCGTGTATTACAACTCACTTCCTGGGATGAAGATGCCTGGGCAAGCAAGGTATGTTTCACCCCTATGTTTGTATATAGAAGTCTAATTTTTATCTACTGTGTTGTACACTTTATAAACTTGTGTTTTTGGGACTGCTGAAATATATATTTGTGTATCAGTTTTGTAACACTTTGTAATCACATCATATGATCTCTTCAAGGTCAAACAACATCTTCAGAGATGATGGTATTAATGTATCTTTCAAAATTAGCCTTCTCTCAATATGCTAAGCTAAAGGAGTATGGTATTTGAAGGTGGTTCAGTGGCTACGTAATCATATTTGACAGAGGAAAGTTAGGTAAAAAGCTATCATTTTATACATTAAAGTGGTCTTGTAGCTAGGCATTCATAAGTGAGATTACCTGAGATTTTTCTCCTAGATATTACTAGAAAAGATAGGTTGCTGTCATATTCCTTGTGCAAAAGGCCTGAAGTTGAGAAGTTTTAGTCAATTTTTGGGGATCCCTCCTTGAATACTTCCTCCTTTTCCCCCGCTCCATTTTTAGTCTGCACAATGGGAGTAAATTGCAGGTGTTCACCTTGTCTCAGAGAAATACATGTTACATTGAACAGCCTTTCTGGATAAGTATGATGTCTGTGAAGCTGGCATACGGACAGTATTGGTTCCTAACAACAGTAGTGTTAAGCTGTGCAAGCAACTGCAACCACTTACCTCAAGTTAAATGGTGCTCTTAAGTGATACCCACTGAAGATGCTGAAATGTCTGGCAGACCATAAAGCAGGTCTGACAGACAGAATTGTAAAAGTGTTATTATAGGCTTACAAATAAATGTACCTGCATAACTGAAATTCCTGCCAATTTTTTTGAGTACCTTGAAGTGAATTGCTGAAGGGATTTTTTAAGGATTAGTGCTATAAGCAAACAAGTAACTGTAAATATATTTAAAGAAGATATTGTGACCTGAAGCCAGACGTATTAACAAATGAAATCTTGCAGAAAATCTAACATTGATGTAATCTAGACATTAAAATCACTTTGGCCTATATTGTTTGGCACTTGACCCTTAGTTTGCCTTTTGAGTTATTTTGTCACTATCACTTCCTTATTATGACTACTTTATGCATCTTTGTTTTTGTTCTCCTGTTTCTTACCCTTTTCTCACCTTTAGAAGGTAAGCTTTCTTCCACACCCTACACCTCTACCTTGTACTAAAACCAAAAAAGCATGTATGTGGGATTTTGTGCTGTATGCAGACTGTGTGCTGTGCAACTTTTTATTTGTGTGCCAGCTGTGACACCATACTTATATATGCACACACGGAACTTCTTTTAAAAGGATCTTAATAGCTCTGTCTAGCTACATGTAGAATTGGCTGTCACTAAGAGAATGGTAGTTGCAAGCTGAACTGCATTAAGAGTGTCTTTCCGAGTCTGATTAGAGTTAGCCCAAGATTTTAGAGCACGTTCTTGCTGAATGCTTTTGTGTAATTTATGTTACTAGTCCCTGTAGCTACAAATAAAGGGTCCAGTCATGCAGAACAAGCTTTCTGCATGCCCAGAAAGCTTTATTAAATCAGGAATTTTGTCTATTCCATAGTATTTCACCAGCAGCCTTCCTTCAGTTCAAATGGTTGGTGTGCTTCAGGTCTAGGCCTAAAACTTGGATTTTTGTATATGCGTTTTTTCAATTTAGTTTTATTTTTGGATTTAAGCATTCCTGTATTTTATGAAACACAAGTACAGTTTTGTTTTCTTTTACACAAGAAATTAGGAAATTTTCATGGTAAAAAAAAATGACTTTGCAAAAAGTTGGCAATTTAGCCTTAGGAAATTCTTACTTCTCTTGCTAGTGAGGCAGATAAATAAAGGATTTTTTTAAGACAATAGTTGGCGTATTAGCAGTATTTCCAAATGGAAAATATCACATAATCACAGAATGGGGTTGAAAGGGACCTCTGGAGATCATAATCAAAGTATCATTCAGTTCTGAGTTGAGAACTTCTTAATTGTATTTTGTTTTTTCAATTAAGATAAGCTGACGGTTTGGAACTGTAGCACTGGGCATTAACCAAAACAGTTATGAAATAATTTGAGTTGAAAAATGCAGTGGGATGAAGAAGCAGGAACTAGTTTGCTAATGCACACTTATAACAAACCTTTTCCTGTATTTGTGCATATATCTAACGTTTGACTTATTTTTCTGGGAGGGAGAGGGAATAACTCTTTAATTCTACTTGAGATTACTGTTGCATGCATTTTGTGCCTGGCGGTCAAGGGAAAAGTATTTTCTTCATGCTTTTCTGCAGCAGAGGAAGGTGTGTTTGGGGATACATAGCCTTGAATTTTTACCTGTGTAGTACATGCTACTGTTGATGTTGAAGTTTATTTTATGTTTATTATTATCTTGAATTGTTTATACATCGAAGTATCCCAAAATCTACCTACAGATAGTGGAGAATGAACAAGTGTATGGAGCTAGAGTTGTAGGCTTTTTTGTAAACTATTTTGTTGGTCTTTCCAGACTCTGAAATGCATATTACTGTTACTGGATTGCAATAATCTCTGCTTGCACCAACACTGGACTTTTTTAAAATAGTGTGCTGATTTGGAATTGAAATAGAATTGAGCAAATACTGATCTCAAATACAGATTTTTTCAAGATTTTGTTAATTTCTTCCATTCATAGCTTTGTACCTTTTATCTTTGAACTTTTAATTTTACAGAGGAGTTTAGCTTTCTCTTGTATGTTCTTAGTGTTTATCTTTTAAATAAACTTGAAGTAATACTCAATTCAAGCATCTTCCATTTCCATAGAAATGGAGGGAGTTAAAAGTTGTAGGAAGCTGAGAAGTATCCAGTATATTGCAGGACTGAACCCTGGATGATGACTAAGCTATCTATTCTGCCAGAAGGCTGGCTTTGCCTATTTTCTTCAACATTGCCTTCTTTGGTAATGAAATGCAGATATTGCTAGACTAGACCACTTTATTGAGTCAGAGGTTGTGTTTTATATTCAACAAGGGATTGTGTAGGATTTATTTTGCTCCTTTTCAAAGCGGTGCCAAGACTACCTGCTCTATGAATAATCTCAAAATTCTTGGTAGTGGCAGAAGTGATGCATAAAGGTATCTTGAGTAAGTGCTCATTTGCTTTAGGAACTGATTTGCAAAAAACCAACTTGCTCTTTTTCCTTCAGACAATGTTGCCCTAGTTGTTTAACTTGATTAACTTAAGTGGTTTATCTCTTCTGAAAAAGTAATAGTGCTGCTTGTGTTGATGAAATTCCTTTTGCCAACAGGGGAACTGTGGGGAGAGGAGGGAAAGAATCCTTTTTTGCTGATAAAATTACTCTATATGAAACTTTTTTGCAGGATAGCTGTAGGATTTTTTCCTTTCTTGCTTGCAACTGATATTCTGCTGGCAAAACCCAAAGAGTAAAATTTTAAACATACTTAGCTGTTTAGGAAGGAACAAGGCATTTAAACAGCTCCAGAAATCAGGAATATCAAGACACTTTCAAGCAGTAAGAGCTTGAGCAAGTTGCTTTGTTTTGTTTAAATTGAACATTGCTACTTCTGTCTTCCTGCTTAATAGCCTGAATTGGTGGCAAAGTCCAGGCATTTCAGGATTGCTACACCTTTGTCGCTTGCCAAGTGTCTGACCCCAGACACAACTGTGGCAGAAACAAAAGTGTGGTATCAACAAACCTAGTTAAGGATGTGTTCTAACTTCCTATTTAAAAATTACCCGTCTCATTGCAATGAAAACTCTCTATCAGGCTAAAGCAGAGAGGGATTCCTTCCCGTGGCAGTTTGGGCTGTGAAGATGGGAAATCTGTGCTTTAAGAGCAGTTGTCCTGGAACACTTCAACTGCTACAGTTGGATTTCACCAGATTTTTTTGAATAGGAAAAAGGAACAGTATTTTACAAACATGAGCGCAGAGCCACACGGGATAGCAAGATTTACACTGCAGAGCAATTCAGTTATATAGCCTTCATATGACAGGACAGATGGATCCTGTTACTGCTTGGGTAGTGCTAGCAATTACAAAATTGTGAGTGTAAAAGTTAAAATACCCTTGATTTTGTCCCCTGATATAATACTTCAGATTTAGAGGCTTCTGTATAGTTTTGCTGAAACTGCAACTCTGCAGGCAGCTGAGACAACACAAAGACGGTGTTAGTAAAAAGGGAGGGGCAAAGACAGTTTTCCCAACACTCTCCTTTTTTCAGCCATCCCACACCTATCATCTCATCAACACACTAAGCAACATCTGTTGCCTTTTTAAAAATTCAGTTAGTTCTTTGTTTCAAATTATTTCTGGGTAGACAGGCCTGCAGTAGACCATTCATTCCAAACTAAAGTAGCTTCAGCCCATATATAAAACAACAGAAAGCTGTAACACCTACCTTCACAGCTAGCAAGGTTTTTATATACATTTTGAATACCTAAGTGATTCTTTACTTGTCTCTTGTCATATATTAAATGCACAATTCTCAAGCTATAGGTAAGATGACTTTTAAAAGAATGTGCCCACCTCCCACCCCTAGCTGCATATTCTACCTTTTTGAAGTTTTTTTCAAACAGGTCCTGATCTAAGCTCCAACACCCAGTTTCTAGATTTGAGAACCAACTTTTCAGGTGAAAATGATTCTGCTTTTGGTGCTGTCTCTCAGGCTGTGATTCAAGAGCCCTTAAAAATATCCAGCAGAGTGTCGCGTGACCTTTTGGAATGTCGATTGCTGAATTATATTATAGCACCTTATGAATAGCTGACAGACCAACATGCCTGAGTAAAACTGGCTTAAATGCCAAAATATTTACAGTGATGTATCTCTGAGACTAAGCACACAGAATGGACAACTCCACAAAAATGTGGCAGTTCTTTAGTGTTGTCAGGATACCACATGCTGTACCAGATAGTGATCGTTGATGCTAGTAGGCTCCTCTTCATAAGAGTTAGATGTGTACAGTCTAATTCAGTTAATAGCGCAAGAGCCAGGCTGCTTTTCATCATCTGTATACTAATCATGAGATGCTAGATGCATTTCAAATTATTTCCATGACATGTGTGTTAAAAAGCTATTTTGGCTTTTCCCCAGCTTTCTACTTAAGGTACTTGTTACTCTCTTCACTGTCTTTCCATTTGTGTAAGATAGAAAACTTCTGGCCTCTAGTGGAGAGATGACACATGAACAATTAACAGAGTATGCAGAGAAATGAGAACTGGATGGTTTTATCTCCTCTAGTCAAAGAGGTGTTGGATAATAGCAGCATAATAGTCAAAGAAGCAGCTTCTCTGATGCTCCAGGCAGAGAAGTTCTGAGTTTAAAACAACCACGTGTGAATACATGAGTCTGTCTCTGAAGACATTAAACTCCGTATCTGAGAATTCCCGGAATTAGCTGGCAGTCTATTTTTCTGTAAATAGCAGTGGTTTGACTTTTAAGCAGCAGCGCAGGTGCAAAATGCAGATGTACAACCTCTTACACCAAAGTAAGTAGTAAAATTCACTGGCCAATTTCCATTTTTGAAAAGTTTAATCTCATTGTGACAAGTTTTTTATGTGCCCTGATGTTCATTAAAGAAAAAATGGAACTAACTCCAAGACGTGTGCTTATTAGAGCTCTGACTTTAGAAATTAAAACACTAGTAAATAAAGGAATAGAAAAATCACTAAAATTGCATGCATATTTTCTGCATTTTGAGTGAAATGAAAATGTCTGTCTTAATTGGAAAAAAAGCGATTATGACCTGCTAGTTTGAAAATGGGTTTTGCACTGCTTATGGGTGTGTTTCTGTAAGTAAATTGTGCTTTATAGAACTTCTGTCTGCTTTGGCTGTGTTGACTATTTGTGCTTTGATTTTTTTGAGAATCATTTTGATGGTTTCTCTTTTGTAAAGGACACTGAAGCCATGAAAAGAGCTTTAGCCTTAATAGATTCAAAGATGAACCAGGCAAAAGGTTGGCTGAGAGATCCAAATGCAGCATTTGTTGATATTAAAACAAAAAAACCAAACCAACCAACCAAACAAAAAACCCCCCACCCCCACCCCCCAAAAAAACAAAACAGCACGAAGTATTTTGATTTTTAAAGCCATGAATAATTCTGTTGTGTAAGACAAAATTGCCTTTAAGCATTAATAACTCGTATGTAGTGGATCATTCAGAAGGAGCCTGTATTTATTAATTTCTTTAGATACTGGAGATTGAACAAGTTGTGTTTAATGACCTGGAAAGTTTTGCTTCTTTTCAGTTGTCTAAATAATATACTCTGTGTAACATACATGTTTTTTTCTTTTCATTCTACTAGTAAAAACAAAAACCCATAAATTGCATTGAAAAGTATTTAACTGCAGTGGTTGCTAATACTTAAAATCCTTCCTTTTCTATTTTCAAATTGGTATAACTTTAGATTTGCCTAATGTTAATCTTTAAGCGTTTTCCTGTCAGTCTTGACATAAAATTTTTAACATTAAAATCTGCCATAAATACTGTAACTAGCCACCTTTGCTTATATAAAGGTTTTGCCTTTGTATGCATCTTTAAAGCATATAAAACCAGATAGAGGCCTGTTCCATTTGGACTTTGAAAGACCTTATCTGAAAGACTTCCTCTGAAATTGAAGCCAAAATAATACAGCTGTAAAAGTTGGAAGTGAATTGTTGTTATCTGCGGAGCTGCTGCTTATACTACTTCTGACCTCATTCCCCTTGCGACAATCAATTCCAGAAACCTCAAAGTTATTTTCAAAGTTTTCTGTCATTGACACTGACAATTAATGAAGTAAACTATTAAATTAAAAATTCAGTAGCTAAGGGCAATTGCGAAGATAATTGTAGAACTTACTGCAGATCAGATTTTACTGAGTGTGTTACTTTGAACTAACCTCATAATATGTTTGTCATCTTTGCGTTCCTTATGGTAGGATTTCTTTGAGCCAATTTCATTATTATAATGTCATGGAGGAACCAGGACTTTATGGGTACTGGCACCTCCACTATCTATAATGCTGCAAGATGGGATCAGGGTGGGTTGCAAGTAAAAGGAATGTTGTTCTTGCATCTTCTTTAGCCAAAATCAAGTCAGATTTGCAACTGGCTGAAGTTCAGGCTACATGAATCTTGCCAG